ATGGTTTGTTATTCACCGGAAAAATATCAATATTGACCGAGGCGAAGCCTCGGTCAATATTGATATTTTTTATGGTGAATAACAAACCATATTCATCATCGAAAGAGTCCATACTTGTTTCATTATATAGTCAGGATTTAATGAATAAGACATTGAAGGCTGCCTAACGATTCCATTTTCATTAACGAACTTCTGTCGTAGAAACATAACAAATGTCCAGATCACAACCTATAACTTCCGTGTTTTCTTTTCGCTGTGTGTAAGACATCGAAATGTAAAGAAAATAATCCCGTGATAGACTTGCGAAATTATTTTTCCTGCTCATATATTCAGCTAGCTCCGGCCGTTGCAACCATTGTTTTCAACGTTTTTTGAGGTATCGATTATGACGTCACAAAGTCACTGCACGCGCACTGACCCTCCGGTGAATAGGGCTTCAAATCCGGTGAATATGTAGTGTTATGAACTGTTTGCGTTTGTATAGATTATATAGGGGATATTTATTTAAGAAATAAGGTATCATTTTTAAACATCTATTGGGATATAAATACGGGTTGGTCACGAGATCAAATTCCATAAAGCCAGAAGGGCTTTATGGTAAATTTGATCTCGTACAACCCGTATTTATAGCCCGATAGATGTTTTAAAATGATACCTTATTACTTATATTTACATTTGTGACCTATTTATATTTTATATTTGCCTGTTTATAATCTTTAACGTGTGAAATGTTTTTATTTTTCAAACTCAACGGCACGTTTTTAATCCATTGATTGCGCGTCGACTTTTATGACGTCACTGAGAAATTACGTCGTGCGTTTATGACGCGAGGAACCTGTATTTATACGGATATAGATACGCATTGCTTTTAGTAGTGTTATTTAAAGGAAAACATTTGCAAATGTAAATATAGACTATATAATAAAGCTCATTGCATATCTTTTTTGAATCCACACTACATGTATGTATTCCTACGCCGAGTGACGTAATGTAAATAAACAAATCCATGTGCATGATGGAAAGAAGAATTCCAAATAATTCAATTGTAAATATTGATGGAGGTGGTTCAGGTTTGGAATTTAGAAATCTTCTAAATTTGAAAACGATGAAATTATTTATGAAGTCGAAATTGAGGGTACAGGTCTGACATTGCCATTTCCAAGTTATCGTCTCAAAATAGTGAAACCTGTCTCGCAGCAGACGACGTCTGGATCGCGATTTGAATGAATAGACGAAAATGATATTGATAAATATATCAATGATCAAGAAAACAAAAACACATGGAAAAAAACTTCTACTGACATGAATTTGCTAAAATCGTTTCTTGAAACTCAAAATGAAAACAGACCCATAGAAACAATCCCTCCCTCTGAATTGAATAACATTTTGTGCAAATTTTTTTTGAGTGTCCGCAAGCCTGATGGCTCAAATTATGAACCAAACACATTGCGATCTTTTATGAGCAGCTTTGATAGATAATTACGTAAAATGAAGTATGGATGTCAGATTGTTTCAAGCATAGAATTTGTTAAAGCGCGCGAAGTTCTCAAGGCAAAACAGCGAAGTCTTAAAGGCGAGGGTAAAGGAAATCGATCTAAAAAAGCGGACCCATTAACTGACATCGAAATAAATAAACTGTGGGAATGTGGTCTGTTAGAGGCACAAACTCCTGAGAGTATATTAAACTCACTTTGGCTATTCAACACAATTTCTTTTGGACTGAGGGGTTCAGATGAACACAGATCTCGTGGGGTGACATTTGATTGCAAACTGATATTACTGGCGTAGAATACTTAACATTTAATGAACGCCAATCAAAAACCAGACAAACCCAAGGGATGTTCGAGTAGTCAAACCCAAAATGTGGGCAAATACTGACGCGCCGGATCGATGTCCTGTTGCTATATACAAAATATATTCAGAAAAAAGACTCGATGATTTTTCAAAACCCGATAATCCATTTTATTTAGCTACACATACCCAGCAACACGCAATGTCAATCCCAGACCAATGGTTCAAAAGACAGCCAGTCGGCGTCAATAAATTATCATCTTTAATGAAAAGAATGGCAAATGCAGCAGGTATTGGTGGAGGCAAAAAACTCACCAACCACAGCGCTAGAAAACATCAAGTGCAAAAATTAAGCGAATACAACATACCTCCAAATTATATCATGCAGATAACTGGCCATAAAAACATCCAACCCATAAACAATTACAGCAGCATCAATGAAAATCAACACAAAAGTATTTCTGGCATCCTTTCGAACTCAGCACCTCCCGTAAACAACCCTGGATCCGCCACATTCAATTGGACACAAAACAATTCTATCAAAAATACAGCTGTACGGAATGCAACAACATCAAACACTGGAAGTTCCATGACTGTTAATGTCTCAGGGGGCATTCAAAACTTCTTGAATGGAGATGTTCACGGCGGAAAAAATTATTGTAAACATCCATGAATGTTCAAACAAAACACCACGGAAAAGGCCGCGTGTCATCTATGACGCGGACACGGATGACTGAAGTCAATAATAGTTGTAAATGACTTGATTTGTCAAATTTCAGGTTATTTCATATTTTTGAACGAATTTTCATTCATGAATTAAAAAATGTAACTGCTAAAATACATTCTTTCTTTTATTTTTGTACGAACTATTTCTAACAGCGTAATATTATTTACGTATGTTATTTGGTCCGGGGTAACCGAGAGGGAACTTTGAATCAGAAAATAAAGACAAGATGAACAAAAATATGTGATAAAAAGAATCTCCCATGGTTTGTGGTTGGATATGATTTTTATCCAACTCGTTGTGTGTTTTCTATCCCCTCGCCAAGGCTCGGGGATAGAAAACACACAACTCGTTGGATAAAAATCATATCCAACCACAAACCATGGGAGGTCCTATATTTATTATACTTCTGTTAAAATGTTTCCTATATAAAGTTAAGAAGGTAAAATAACTATCTTTTATAGTCTGAAAATTTCCACGCATAGCAAAGCTATACCCTGGGGTGGGGTATAGTTTTTGCTACCCACCCCTCGGAAAATTTTCATGCAATTTTTGCCGCCAATTTTGACTTCCTGTAATCAATCTATAGACTTATGATGTCATCCTGACTTCAGTAGCATTGTGACGTCATCAGGATTTCAGCCCATTCTAGCAGTGTTATCTTATTCCAAATAGGCCTACTTGTTCAAAACTTTTCTAATTATTTTTTTTTTTCATATTTTTCCTATGGAACTGTAGTCCAACCATCAGAAATTATGATACACATCAGTATAATAAAACGCTTATCCACTCGGGCAAGCCCTTGGGGGAATAGTCCCTGTCGCGGGTTTGATAAAAGAGCTATCTCACTCACGGCCAGTGGATAAGTGTATAATATAGAACACGTGTTTAACAGTCAAATTCCGTTATATCTTACCTTGATAGCTGCAGGCAGGCAGGCACCTGGCAGGAGTGTTCGAGGAGATTGGCGCCTTGTTATAGCATACTGGTGTCATCAAACGCACCACTGCTGCAGAAACTGAAACATACGGTGAAAAAGGGGCTGCTAGAGGATTTGCCCTTGTGAATCTCAATCATGGAGACAAAGTAAAGCTTGTTTACCCTTGGTAAAGTCAAGGTTCTATTCACAGTGACAACGTCTACAGACGTACTTCCTTTTCTGGGTTCCGTGTTGCATGATTCTCAGTTAGCAAAATGACAATAAAAAGTAAACCTTGTATTGTCTAAAATCTTTAGGAAAAATATAAATATGGATTGAGTTTGGGAGTAACTCATATGAATCTGGAAAGAACACTATAAATTTAAAAACCCAAATTTTTCGATTATTTATAATGCTTATTTAAACTATTTATATCATTTCAATGCATATATCAACGATGTTCATTATTCAAACCAGAGTAACTTTTTTAATTGTTATCCCATATTTTCAAATACATCCTGGATTTAAAATGTTTATGTGAAACTGTTTTCATTTTATACTTCTAAAAGGAATTTCGTAATATTTGAAAAGACTTGGTAAAAAATATCATCTAATGTTCATAAAATGAAGAAGTTTTCAATTTTGAATTTTAGAAAAAAGCAAATATCTTTCATTGATGATCAGTGATTGGTATTTCGCAGGAATATGCAGTCTTCTGTCTAACATTGAAATATTCATAAACGCAGCAACAAACATACCAACTCCTTGTCAGCATTGATAAACTTAACATGTACATTATTTACATAACCTACAGGGCATAAAGAAAAAAGACTGGAACGTGTCACTGAAGTTTTTAATATGTTGGGCTTTCCCATGAGTCGTAGATTGCTCGGTATTTTTTTTTTAATTCCTTCCATGTGTATGACAAAAACCCAAAAAACTTAGATTTAATGATGATAATGTAAAATTTCTCAATGTGAAAGCTGTTAAAAAGTGTATATTAAAGTTAGACAATAAATTGTACATATTAGTAATCATTTAAAAAAAAACTATTTAACAGTCTTCAATACACTTCTTGAAGAACAATAATGTCATTATGTCCAGTAAACACTATTTTGCTGATGAATTTCTCTAAATAGTCGTAGAAAGACAAAGAATGAATTTTAAATATGAAACATAAGCACAGCATGGTATATAAGTTAATCATTTCCTTCGTCTACTTGTATTTTAATCTCATTGTATTGAAAGTCTTTTACTTGAGAACATTAATATGATTTTTTGTATAAGTTTTGCAGAGTCTATAATAGACAATAAGCTATAATATGTTTTCATGATATCAGTGTACAAATGCTCTATAAGAATTATTTATTTACACTTTAATGGAAGAACATTATTTTGGAATTTTTTAAATTCAGGGGAAAATGGAGAAAATCTAAATGAAAATACTTTGCCATCTGATTGGTTACTTTGTACCACCTTTCCATTACACGGATGAGTTCTTCCTTTGTCTGAGTGTACAATATAATGGATTCTTTAACTTCCTTGTTCTATCAAGATCAGACAAGAAGCAGTAAGATGTATGTTAAATATCACCAAGCAGTGATTCTCCTGATCGTTTTCAGTCTCAGGTAAACACTTTATTCTGAAAGTTTGTTGATTAAATGCTTAAAATAATGTTTTCGTATTTATTTCTTATGATTTACTCATTACCCTACATGTTATTCTTACAGTTACATTACTGGCCATTCATGTAACTCAAGTGCACCTGAAATACAAGGTAAGATTAATTTTTTTTTTCACTCTGTTAAGTTTTAAAAAAACGTTGATTCTTACTTATTGGGGCGCTCGAGGCATTTCAAAACACTTGAATATTTATTATCAATTCAGAAACAAAATATAGGATATTCAATGTTTTGTAGTTGGATATGGAATACGAGTGGGACAGGATTTTTTGATATTTTCACGAGTGCGAAGCTGTCTCACTACAAAACATTGAATTTTCTGTCTATTACATTTTCTTTGATTTCCCTTTGCCTCTGTCTTTTCATAACACAGTGTAATAGGCTGTGACGTCATAGTTGAGCGGTTGAGACGTCAGAGCTTAGCAATATTGTGAGATTGAAAACATTGTATGGATTTTAACAACATATTTGGGAAGATATTGGCGGTTTCTATCAAGACGGCTTAGTTACTATATCTATCATATGACAGGCCAGAAATTATTTTTAATTACTTTGATATCCATTCACATTGTGAGAAAATATACCCTTTTGTTATCCTTTCACACTGTGAGAGAATATCACTTTTATTCAATAAATAAATCATGTCACTGTTGAAAATATAATAAATTCCAATACTTTTTAATTGATAAATTGATGAGTATTTATATAAATAACACTTCTACAGAAAAAAATATTCAATAGTGTTAAGCACTAGCTATAGTAAAAACGATCATGAGTCAATTTGGTTAAAATCATTTTGCTCTACCGAGCACACATTTTTCTAATTTTATGTTATTATCAAAATAGTTCTTTGACAAAAAGAAATGAATAAACTACAACTAAATAAAATCCCACGCAAGCACGATAAAATACATGACGTCAATGTTTACAAAGAAATAGTTATTAATTTTATGAAGTATTTTCACGTATTTTAAGTATACTTAATGTCAAGACTGGTATAGTGTATGAAGCATAACTTTCTATAATAATAGATTAAGCCAATATACATGTGTATACCACACAACTAACATACTGACATAATAAAACTACTTAAAAAGTATACAGGGTCAGTTAGATTTAATAATAGTCCTTGATACAGTAAAAAAAAACTCCTTTTCCTTATAATTTTATATTGCACATAACAATTATTTATTTAAACATATTTCAATTTTATACAGAATAAGTACATAAATTTCTCTTTAATTGTGTACTTTAGGGGATGGTTTCTCTGGTTTCTTTTAACAAAATTAATTTTTTTTTTTGCTTTGATTTGATTGTTTGGAAGGTAACATCACTGTCAAGTACACTATCAGGAACAAATTAGTGGAACCTAAGTTTGAATATGAACGAAACGTGACGTCATATGCGGGTCAACCATTCATAAGGTTCATGGAACAAGCTGCTGATGACGACAAAATCTATCGGTGAAATTTGGCTATAAAATGAATTTTTCCAGAACAAAAACATACATTTCAAGTGAATATGACTCTATCTATGTATAATTACATGCATATAACTGATATTTTTTTAAAAACATTAAAACATGATTCATTAGCAGCATCCCAACATTTTAACGATGAACAGCACAAAGACAATCAATGCATTTTGTTTCTAGGTTTTCATCCAAATACTATGGTAGTCTTGGATACTTTATTGAAAAACTAGGAATGGACAGAGAGTATGTCCCAGGTTTGACCTATTGGCAGTTCTTAAAAGCGCCATCTACTATCTTGCCTGTCGGTGAGTTATTGAAAGTTGTATTGGTAAACCATGTATACGTACTCAGATTGTTTTAATCAAATGAATCTCAGAAGAAGGTAAGGTTTTTCGTTGAAAAATATTCTATGACACAATCAAGATATTGACTAACCTCATTCATATGTTATGCTTATTTGTTTGTCTGTAGTATGTACCCAACTGGACCTAAGGTAGAACCACAATAAGACTAAAACGTTTTATTTACGAAATATGTTATCAAATTATATTATATTTACTGTGTAATTCAATCAATCTGATTGGATTGCTTGCTATCACGTGCAAAATTATATTTGACGATATTGACTTGAGTTACTAAAAATAACTTATGGAAAAACCAAAGTTGTGTTTTTAATAATGAAAAGTCTTTATAACTTACAAATTCTTACATACTGAGATTGTTTGTCTCTTTCCTTTCCAAAGAAAATAATATAACAAATGTAGCCCTTTGAATCGGTCAATCCATAGGTATATCGGCTTCATCGAAAAGCATATCGACTTCGCACTTCGTGCTCAGTGGATATGCTTTTCTGTGAAGTCTATATAACTATGGATTGACCGATTCAAAGGGCTATATTTGTATACTAACATCCATCAGGATATAGATATGGGTTGATCACGTCATCAAATCCCATAAGTACAAAGGACTTAATGGTAGACTTGACTGCGTATTAACTACAAAATTAAATACAATGCTGAGTTTAAAGAACTCATTGAAAAAGAAAGATTAATAGTTTGTACCATTGCAGGCGTGAGTACCTATGTGCCAATGGACGGTGACCACCTGATCTTTGATTATGTACTACAAGGAAATTGCAGTAGTTACAGCCCCCAGCACCGGTGAATCGAATGTAGATCTTTTAGGGTTTGATATATTAAAGCTGAACACGACTCGTAAATAGGCATACGCCATATTTAGTTTTCCTATCTCAGATATCAGCACTTGGGTATACCCTTTGCATTCGCTACACCTGGCTGCTTACCTGCGTGGAATGTTCGTGTTGGTTATCTTACATTACCTTTGTTTACATTTTATTGCAGTTTATGTGTATTTGTGTTTGTTTGTATACTGCACTGACCTGTGCAGGTGTTGAAAGTTTCTTTGGTAACTTTCCCCCCTAACATGGAAGAAAGACACATTTACTTTTGTCGCTACAGAGTGTTTTACAGTAGCTCCATGTGGCATACGTCTGTCTACACACTTGAAAACTGATTACACTGAACCGTGACTACGTGACCGGCTTATATATCGGTTTCAGATATAACGACAGAATAAGAGAATATGGCAGAAAAATCCCTTTTATGGATAGTGTTCAACTTTAATTAGATAATTTTAATATGATACTATACATGTATATTTTACCAAATGTCAAAATTTAAAATCAATATGCAAAAAACATTGAAAGAATTACCGGTCAGTATAGATTTCCCTTTCCAAAACAAAACAAAAAAAAATCATGATTGTCGCTCTCTTGTCCAAGCTTAGCACGGAATGGATGTACATGTATGTATTTACGTAGAAATTTTAGTGCTTCTTCCAGTCATTCATCTATTCCATTTTCATTTTAATAGAAAGGGAATGGTTTTCCAAAGAACAAACCGAGAATGGCATTTCCTAGTTCTTTAATTTAGGGATTTCAGATTTACTTTTATCTATTCAGAATGGTGAAGTATAAAAAAGATAACGAACAGTAATAATGCCCAAACGTCCATTGAAACAATACAAATTGAGCAAACATCAGAGGTGGGATCAGGTGCCATGAAGGAGTAAGCATCTCCTGTCGACCAGTCACACCCGCTGTATGCTCTTTGTCATGATCAAGTAAACGGAGAAATCTACGGAAGCCGGTAGCTGTCAGGTAGAAAAATATTTTATCTGGCGGCCGCCAGAAACTTATCTGGCGGCCGCCAAATAATTTTCTGGCGGCCGCCAGATAAAAAGATCTGGCGGCCGCCAGATAACTTATCTGGCGGCCGCCAGAGAACTTTCTGGCGGCCGCCAGATAAATATTTGGCGGCCGCCAGATAAGTTATCTGGCGGCCGCCAAATATTTTTCTGGCGGCCGCCAGTTATTTATGTGGCGGCCGCCAGATAATTATTTGGCGGCCGCCAGATAAAATATTTTTTCTACCTGGCACCAACCGGCTTCCGTAGAAATCCGTAGTCAGTCCAGCGTGAAAATAATGTCTATAGTATATGTGGATTAATGACTGTGACTGCTGAAATTCTTTCTATGCAAAAAGAAATATATTACCTTGATTACTCTTTATTTTGTAGTTCTTCGGGAAAAGCTAGCCCATTATCATGTGGACACTGGGCTGCAGCAGGAGTATGTTTAGTAATCACATACCTTTATTTTATTGTGTAAAACAACACATTTAGCTACAAGAATAAACTTCGCGTCCATAATAACCATTGAGAATGAATTAAAATTATTGCTACAACGATTTTAAAAAAAAGTAGATTTATTTCTGTACATTAAATATTTTGTTGAACAAAGGAGAAAAATACGTACAACCAAGGTCTAGCCATCGTTGCATGCTACGGGTTTTGTGGCCATTGTATATATATATATATATATATATATATATATATATATATATATATATATATATATATATATATATATATATATATATATATATATATATATATATATATTCTGATTTTTTCAGTAAAAATTAATTAAATCTGTGAAATTGAGACTTAGAGCAATTCTGCTTAATTTTTTTTCAACGGTATCTAATATACTATTTATAATTTTATAAAATAAGTTAGTGTATTCATGTATTTTCGAAATTCCCCCGAAAGGTTTTTTTTTAAGAAACAAAACATTTTTGTCTTCATTTTCATACGAGGTGTTTGTACTATATATTTATATGATTTATGTGATTTGTAAATTATCAGAAACCAAAATTGCTTTATCTGATTTATTTGTACTCGTTGTATCCTATGCTGTATTATATATTTTTCAATTCATTTCATTTATCTAGGACTTCTTGCATTTCATTTGAAAATCTACTTAGGAAAATATAAATATAACAGTGATTTATTTCTAACCTTTCTTGTTTGATGTACTCCTAAGAGCATCAGTATTGCATCGCACTGTGTCTTATATAAATTGTAAGAAAGCTTCATGTATAACTGAATGTGTAAGAACTTTTATTTTTTTATTTTTGTCAGCGTTTTTTCTTTATTTTTCGAGCATCTTTTTTTCCTGGATGAATTTTTACACTTTATTAAATTCACTAGTATGTATATGTTATAGTAAAATATGTAATCTGGAATTTCATGTTTTTCTGAATTTTAGGAAATATATGAATTCCCTATTGTTCATAGGAAACATATGTTTTTACTGTTTTTAGTTCGGAAATACTTGTATTTATTTAATTTTTCAAAACCTTTGAGAATTATTTCCATGTACTGATAGTATTTTTGGTGAGATAATTGAGCTATGAACTATTTTTGGTGATTTTCAAACAAATTCTATGTTTTTGCCCCAAACTCCTAAAAGCCCTCATGTCTTGGTGTCAAACATCCTGTTTTACAATCATTCGAAAAGTACTTGTTTGCAAAAGTCCTATTGCACTCATAAAAGTTAGAAGGTTTTTCTATTTTTCGGGGATTTTTAGCTCACCTGAGGCAAAGGCTCAAATGTGCCTTTCTGATCAAATGGTGTCCGTCTTTCGTTGTCGTGTGTCGTCTGTCTTCTGTAATCTTCCACCTTTTCTACTTCTTCGTACCAATTTCAATCAAACTTGCAACAAAGCATCATTGGGTGAAGGGAATTCAAATTTGGTCAAATGAAGGGTCACGCTCCCTCGCAAGGGGAAATAATTTAGAATTAGTTAAAAATTGATGGCATCTTTTAAAATCTTTTTCACAAGAACCACTGGGCCAGAAAAAATAAACCTTACCTGAAATCTTTAGTACGATAAGTTTTTCATATAGGCATAAATGTGAAATTTAAAAAAAATCTTCTCAAGAACAGCAAAGCCATGATAAATCTTATTTATTTGAAAGCATACTAAGGTAGTGTGGATTCAAATTTGTTCAAATCATGACCTTTCGCGGTCGGGCGGGGCCACAATAGGCAATCATTTTATTTTTTTTTTACAAAGGAATATATTAAAAAAAAACTTTAGATAACAGCAAATCCATTTTAGTCATATAATTAATGTGGAGGCATCCTCAGGTAGTGTAGATTTAAGTTTGTTCAAATCAATACTCCTAGGGGTAGGGTTGGGTTACAGTAGTCGATGAAAATTTTATATATAGGAAGGGAATAAATAGGAAACAAGTCTTCTCAAGACCAGCAAAGCCACGATTATTCAGATTTATATTAAAGCATCCTAAGGTAGCGCAAATTCAAGTTTTTAGTCAAATCTTGAACCCTGATGGTATGTTGGGGCCACAATAGGAGATCATAGGAATATTTAGAAAAAACCTTTGAATTGCTTTCTCTAATGAACAGCAAATCAATGATAAGGCATATTGATTAGAAAGCATCCTCAGTTAGTTTAGATTCAACTTTGTTCAGATCAGGGCCCTTGAAAATAGGTTGAGACTACAATAGGATATCTGAGTTTTACAAGACAGTTCATTTGTACATAGGACAAAATCTATCAAAAAAGTTGCAAGATCATACATTAATCTTTTTAATAAGCAAAATATACCTGAGATGTGTAGAATAGACTTTTTGTTTAATTATGAGACTTAATTGGGTTAAAGTTGAGCCAAAATAAGAGATTCATTTTTTACATAATGCATATGTACAGGAAAAAGAAATCTCTTCCAAAACAGCAGGGCACTGCCGATCATATTGAAATTGAAGCATCCCAATGTTGCGTTGTTTTATTTTTGAATAAATCGTTAATCGTAACTACTTTAGGTCCAGATTTTGGTCCACAACTTGGAGTCAAAATATTTATGAAATTAAAGAGAGAAATAAAAAATTCTGCTGGGCAAAAGTGACTCAGGTGATTGTTGTGGTCTATGGGCCTCTTATTTAAAAAACAATCAAGTTTTCTTGCATCCAAAGTCCTAAACGACCCAATATCGTCTTGATGTCAAACAACCTGTTTTAAAATCAGGGGTTATGTACATTTAAAAAAAGAGACTATTAGCAAAAGCCTCATAGTGGTTCCGCTATTCCGCTAGAAGCCCATGGCTCAAACAATAATAATAGTTAAATCATCTACAGATTTATTAACAGTGCACACTAAATAGATCTAAATCCTTGGTAGTTCATCTGTTCTTAGATGTCCTTAGATTTCAAATAAAATAAAATTAAATATACACTGTATCATTAAATTTGTAATAAATTCAAACATTCTTAGCATTTTACTAGGCTAAGAAAAATTAATTGAACACTTTATTTGCAGGTTTTTGGACCCATCTTTCCCATTTGAGCAAAAGTGATTCATGTTCATCAAGACGTCTTTCTCTTAATTTTTTTTCTGTAGATTAAATGGCTGTGTATACTGTGTTGAAATTGAAACAGATGAACGTATTTTTTCGATGAACGTTTTATTGGTGTATAAGAGGGTCCTTAATTCATTTAAAATTAACCATTCGTAAAAACTGAAAATGCTGAAAATTTTTAACTATTTACACTATTGAAAAATTATTATTTGACAAAAAAAAAATATATATATAGAATTGTTGATATCAATTGATATCAACATAGAGTACCCGTCGTTCTCCTGCATCAGAAATGTCCAAAGACAGTAAAGTATTGATGAACAGATATCCCTGCTGCTTAATAACATAAGACAAATATCATTGAACTACTTATTTTGGACTGATATAATGTTGAGAATACTTGGATTTGATTAAAACACGCATTACATTTTAGAATTTTACAACTAAGGAACAGTTACTACAATTTTCAGTAAATGCATGTCATTCTAGTCTTACCAGTATTTTTTAAAAAAATTAAACAACCAGAAATTATACATATTTCTTATACGGTTTAGGAAATACCTGAAATTCCTAATTTTACATATTAACTGTAACATATATACATGTACTCACTGATCTGTTTGCCTCAGGTTATTGTTACAAATTTTGTTTAATAAAATATAAAAGAAACTTTTTTCAATTTGTATATTTATTAAAAAAAATTAATTTGACGCTTCAATTATTTTGGAGTGGTACGTGTATATATTATGTCTAACATAAACAAGAATCATGAAATTTTCTTTTGAAAAGCTCTTGTAACATTTCTTTGAAACATGAAACTCTAGAATGTAACTATATCGTGTAAAAAGTGTGTGTGTAAACCTTTAAGTAAAGCGAATAAAAAAAACCCATCATACAACTGTATGTTATAGACGTGAATTAAAGAGATAAAATTGTTTTCACTCCATATACCTGTACTTACCATTGTGGAAGTTATGGCGCAGAGGAAATGGACGGGGCTGCATTTCATTTCCGGAATTTTTTTTTCAATTTTCAAATTTTTATTTCCGACATTTTATAGTTTTCATTTCCGATATTTCCGACATTTTTCAGGTAGTACTTTTCGGCAATGAAAGCAAGATTGAAGACTTCACTTATAAGACTTTTAAAGAATAGCTCATGAATTAATCATTGAAATCCAAATAATGAGTTTTGCTTAGCTATCAATGAAGCGAAAATAATAAAAAAAAAAATTTCTTCCCCCCGGGCCACTTGTAAATGTTGTGAACTTTCACTCATCTCCTCGTCAAATGTTCTTTAAGTTTAAAATCAGATATGTTAGGATGGAAATTCCAAGGCATATTTTTGAAAATGTGGTTTGAAATAAATTCTTTTAAAATTTCATTTCCTCTACTTGGTTAACATTCAATTGCCGGAGAGGTACCCTGAAAAAATTCCGGAAATGAAAAAAAAAATAAATGTAGGAAATGAAAAAAAAAAATTGTCGGAAATGAAATTTAAAAATGTCGGAAATGCTATGCAATATTCCGGAAATGAAATGCAGCGATGGATGGATCCGCACCCGGTGGCACCGGGTCCATTCGGTCGCTTAAAATCTGCGTTATTGTAACTTTACTTAGCCGTTGAACTCTCTCAGCCAAAGGTGTTTAAAATGGATACCTGACATATGATACCAGCAGGTTATCTGGATGTTAAAGCATTAGCGCCGTATATATGTCAACTCTGCTTGTTTGCTCCTACGGTGAGAATGCTGTGGATTGTACGGGCCTCTCGGAAATATGATTGTAGAAGTCGTGCGGGGCAAAGTGCTTTGTGAGGTAGCCTATAACCCTACCTTTACCTTTATAATTTTAAATTTATCATTAAAATTTTAAAAGAAATAAACTCTTACATCTTCAGCAGTTTATAATGCCCATTATCATAAAGACACAGACAGGTGCTATAAAGGGATGCTGTAGAGGGATATTTTCAGGTATAACATACCTTTACGTTATTACTATGTGAAATTAAACATCAAGATTAATATGGACATTGTCCTTGCCTCTCTGAAAAAAAAATGTTTACAATGATTAAAATAATGTCACTAAAAGTCACGTAAAGAACCTAAAATAGAAGAATTAAATAAGTGTCTAGGTT